TATGAGAGCACACTCCGGCGGTTTTAAGTCACTAAGTCTGTGGTAATGTGTAACAGGAGTGATAGAATTTCATACGGAGATGTGCCTCTTTCACGCTTGTCCTCGCCAACGCGCAGTGGAGTTTTCCAGGGGCTACATGATGTCTGATACTGCGAGAGGAGGCAGGATCAGGTCCGGGAACCTAGCTGCCTCCCGTTCATCCAGACATCACGGAAATCTGCAAAACTGTAAACGTTTCTCTGGAGTTGGTACAAAAAGTTTAGAAGTTTAGGTATTCTTCTAAAGTTCTTTTATTTTGGAAGATAGTCATTTTTCATCTCAGGCTCTGAGATGGCTTTAAAGGGGGAAAGGCCACCAAGCTCTCCACATATGAGGCTGCAGGAGCCCCTACATTCGTCTTAGATACACCGTTCCCAGGCAAGATTTCTCAGCCTTGGCACAACTGACATTTGGGGCCGGAAAATCTTTGCTGTGGCGACTGTCCTATGCATTGCAGGATGTTCAGCAGCATCCCTGGCCTCCACCCACCAGAGGCCTGCAGCCTCCCCTTTCTCCCAGAAAAGGTCTCCAAACACAGCCAAATGTCCCCTGGGGGACAAAATTCCCCCCCTCCGCCCAACTCTGGTTGAGAATCATAGGTCTATAAGAAACTTTTGCTAACGGTTATAAACCAATATTTTTTTTCCCAAAAATACAAAGAACCTTTTCTCTGAGCTGAATTTGATACAGGGTGCATAAATATTACACTTCCAAAAATCTCAAGTTTAAAAACAAAAAAGAAGAAATTCCAAATAATGAGGAGCATTCTACGATGTGACCAGTACTCCTCAAAACTGTCAAGGTCACCAAAAACATGGAACCTCAGAGAAACTGTGACAGCCAGGGAGCCCCAGGAGTCGGGGCAACTAAACACAATGCGCTATTCCAGATGGGATTCTGGAGGAGTGAGGGGCAGTACTTAGGTTAAAGGCTAAGAAAATCTGAATTAAGTATTGACCGAAGTTACTATTGATACATAATGACAATGTATCCTTATTGGTTCATTAATTGTGACAAATGTACCATAGTCATGTGAGACGTTAATAGGGTTTATGAAAGGAAACATGCAATTTTTCTATAAATCTAAAACTGACCTAAGAAATAAAGCTTGTAAAAAAAAAAAAAAAAAATTCTTAAAAATGGAAATAAAAAGAAGGGTGGGAGAGCACGAGTAAAACGAAGAGTAACAATGGTCTCTTCCCTGAGCAGGCTTCATTCTGGGAGCCCTGGAAGGGAAGGGACCTGAACTGATTGCTCCGATTACAACAAGAGATCAAATGGCCAGAAAGAAATAATCAGGAAGTGAGACAACACTCTTTTGTCTTCTTGTAAACTGAAACAAACAAGTGAAACGAAACAAAACAAAAACCCACCACGGGCTTTTGTACAGACCTCGTGGTTCTCGGCAAACACTTCCTGCATCCCCGGGCAGCGACTTGCTCCGCTGTCAGAGCCCCTAGGGCCCACTGTTTATCTCCCCAGGCTGGACCGTCACTTACCTGTTACCAGGCACCCCTGCAACACAGGTCCCATGCTTGGCACAGGCAGGGGCTCAGCCACTGTGGGCCCCTCCCTCTCAGGCCCATCCATCTGGGAATCAAAAGCCTTTAAAGCCACTGCTGGGTGCTTAATAAAAGCTTGCTGAATGAACACAAGTTGGACACATACACTCTTACAGACTTCAGCTAAAGGGGGTTGGAATGGTCCAGCCCCAATCTGGGCAAAGAAGCATGTCAAATTAAAGTCCCTGGCCCGGCCGGGCGTGGCTCAGCGGCTGAGTGTCCACCTAGGATCCAGGCGATTGGGGTTTGATTCCCGGTCAGGGCACATGCCTGGGTTGCGGGCTCGATCAATGACTCTCTCGTCGCTGATGTTTCTATCTCTCTCTCTCCCTCTCCTTTCCTCTCTCTGAAATCAATAAAGATATATTTAAAAAAAAAAAAAATTAAAGTCCTTGTGTTCTCAGGGGTGAGAGAGGAACCACGTGCTGGGGTGTCAAGATAGCATGGGGCACACGAATACCTGACTCACAGACCAGTAACGCTTGAAAAGGTTTAGACGTAATTTAGCGGCTTCATTCTACAAAGGAAGAGCCCAAGCTAGAGATCAGGCGGCTTGTTCAAGGCCACACGGTTAGTTAGGCACTTAGGAGACCTACACTCCAGAGCTAACTAACCCACCTCCACCCAGCATTAAGCGTGTCTAAGACTGAAAGTTATTTACTAACTAATAATAATAACTAGGACCTACTGAGCATCTGCTGGGTGCCACACCCACACTAAAAATCCTCCAATTATCCCCAGATTACAGTTATGAAAATTGAGGTCAGAGAGGAAAACAACTTGCCACCAAGGTTACATAGCTAATCAATCTCAAAATCTTCCATGAGCTGTCATAATCCAAAATCCCCCAGGGATTATAACACACCAAAGCCCAGACTCTAGCCCCATGCCGACCTTCACCACCCAACACTTCAGCTGTCTCACCCACAGGCACTGCTCTGAACACCTTTCACGGTAGACTCACTCACTCCTGGCCACAACCCCATGATGCTGGTCCTACTGCCAGCATCCCATTTTACAGATGAGGAAACGGAGGCTTCATGGCATCCCCAGGGTCTCACAGCCTGCAAGCAAGCAGCAAACCTCGTCCACAAAACAAGAGTGGCAAAATTTTTGCTCATTGTTTCTTATAACACTAAACATACAATTACCATTCAACCAAGCAGTGACGTGGCATTTATAGGAATGAACACATATGTTCGTTCACACAAAAAAACCTGTACCCGAATGTTTATGGCAGCTTTACTGCAACAGTCAAAAACTGGGAACAACCCAGATGTCCTTCAACAAGTGGACTGTGGTTAAGCTGTGGTACGTCTATACCACGGAATGCTTCTCAGCAGTAAAAAGATCATACAGCCTCGCCGGGCGTGGCTCAGTGGTTGAGCATCGACCTAGGATCCAGGAGATTGTGGTTCGATTTCAGGTCAGGGCACATGCCCGGGTTGTGGACTCGATCCCCAGTTGGGAGTGTGCAGGAGGTAGCCGATCGATGACTCTCTCATCATTGATGTTTCTCTCTCTCTCTCCCCCTCTCCCTTCCTCTCTCTGAAATCAATAAAGATATATTTTTTAAAAAGATCATGCACACCACAACTTGGATGCATCTCCAAGGAATTATGCTCGGTGAAAAAACCCAATGCCAAAAGGTTATGTACTGTGTGATTCCATCTATACAACAATTTTGAAGTGACAAACTCTTAGAAATGGAGAATGCCCCAGGGATTAGAGAGAACACAAGGAAGGAGCGGGTATAGTTATAAAGACAACCTGAGGGGTCCTGGTAGTAAACTGTTCTTCATCTTGACTGTGGTACACGATACAGGAACCTACAAGTGCTAAAATGGCATAGAACTAAATACACACACAAAGTAAAAGTAAATCTAGGGGACTCTGAACAAGGGCTGAGAAATGTCTCAATATCAATATACTCATTGTGATACTGTACTACCTATTGTTTTGCAAAATGTTACTGTTGGGAGAAACTGGGTTAAGGGTATGCCATATCTCTTTGTATCAATTCTAACAACTGTATATTGTAAATATACAATTATCTCAATTAGAGTTTCAATTTTAAAGAGTCCTGCCTGCCTAAAAGCTGAGCTACATGATCTATATTTCTTTCACGGTAAATGTGCAATTTCCTCGTCTCCAAAGCCAGCCCTTTTTGCACCCTACCACACAACCATTTTAAAAGCCAATGCAAAATTAACTCTGAGGAAAGAAAAACCAAGAAAAGGAGCCCTGTGACGTAGCATTCCGGATTGCTGGTCACTTTGAGTTCGCTCAGAAAAGTATCCCAATTGACTTCTTTCATTAAGTTGACTTCTAGCCAAACAATGGAAAATGTGATTCTACAAAATGTTCTCTCCCACCAAATAATCTCTCCTTATCTCTATGTGCCACCTCTACCCTCCTCCTCAAAAAAGTCTGTTTAAATTTTCAATTCTAAACCTTCCTTGAAAGAAACCTCACCAGTATCACTGGCCCTTTACACCAGTTCCCCAGCGGTCAGCTACTAGCAGAAGGCAGAGCAAAGCAGGAAATAAGACAGTGGGTTAGGGACTGAGACAGGTAGAGTCAAGGTGTCACCGTGGCCAGGATCCTTAAACTTGAGTCTCACCTTTGCCATCTATAGAATGGGGATGTGGCACGTCCTTCGGGTAGGTATGGGTAGAATTCAGGGACACAATCTACGTGCCTGGCACTAACATTTACTCGGTCCTCCGTCTCTCCCCATTTCCCTCAGTAACAACGGAACCATGCTAATTTTAAATTCACCAGGCCCCAAAGCAGTAACTCCCTGGAATCCCCTCCTCCCTGAGGTCAGCAGATAGCCCAGAACGGCCGACCTGCAGCCCCTCCTATTTCCAGCACAGCAAATCCCACCTATCCCCCAAAACTAAGAAGGAAACAGAGTAGCCCCGGACACCGCCACCTGCCCGGCAGTCCCGCTCCGAAGTAACCTGCAGTCCGTCGGATGCCGGCGGTCACTATTATTAGTGCTTAATAACCACCCCTAACGGCGCGTGGGGGTGACCGTACCCCAAGCGACGTCGGTGAAACCCCCGGGGAGAGCCCAAAGCGCTTCCGAGGCAGATTTCTAGCTAAAAACCCCAAGAATGTATAGAACAGCTTTCCAAACGAGAGGAAGGCAAGAGTTGTAAAGTTTCTGGAGGCGCATTTTCCGCGTTTCCCCGAATCGCAATGCAGAGGCGATGCTGCCCGCAGTTGGGGGCGACCGAGGGTCACGATTCGGGGCCCTGAGATCTGCAGCGGGTCTCGCGCGCGTCCGGGGATACACGCCTCCCGGCTGACCGCGTGGGAGGGGGCCTGGCGCCCCAGCCCTGCGGGGAGGGTCCCCACGGGCTGGCGGCTCGGGGGCGCCGCCGCACTCACCGTCCGCGCTCCTCTTCGCCTCCCGGTAGCGCTCCCACAGGTAGCGCTTCATGTCCGGAGCGGCTCCAGGGGCCGTGCACAGGGGCCGTG